GCTGTATATCTGTCATCTCAGCTCTGACTTAAGCCCTGACGTTTAAATTTGCTACGCTTTAATACAAGCAAAACAATCAGTTTCGGTGGAATATTATTGTACTTTTTGATAAGAGAAAAACACGTTTTTTCAATACGGTCCCTAACTTAGCAGCGAAAAAATTCTGGCGCTTTTTTGAAATTTTTGCAATGGCTGAGCAGTTTTTTCTAATTAAACCCAGTGATGATATTTTACGATTCATAACAGATAATGTATGTGACGACAATAGACGATAATTTCACCACTGGAACCCTTACAATCTATAGCCCAGATCTGTAACTGTGCGCAAGATTTCCCTTGAGTGCGTCTGATGAAGTTAGTCGCAGCGACGACGGCATAAAATGAGCGCAAGAAGCCGCGCTGCAGCGTCGAGCTCCCCTGGGGCTACACGCACTGCACGGTGGCGGACATATAGGCCGTTTTTTGCAGGGTATTTTATGGGATCTGCCGCATCGCTCCTGACTACAAAACATGAGTCAATAACACACTTCAAGTTTCTTTCGAGCACAGTGAACAGAGCAGAATGTATTGAATAGTATAAAGCTATATTTCTTCCAACTCGAGCGTCAAACATTTCATGTCATCTCAGTGATAATAGTTACGTTTTTGTTAGATTTTTTTAGTGAAATGCGTGTAGAGCAGCCCAACATTAAGTGGCAAGTTCAAGTATAAGTTACCAAATTTTATTAAGCATGCAAATTAACCGGAAAAATCAAGTACATATGGCACTTGAAAACATACACTGCCTTTAATAGAATAATAATAGGACAGCATAACCACTGTCCGAGTGCCACAATCCACACGGCGCTACAGTCCCGTTCTACTTAACTCCCGATAGAAACGTCGCCGTGAGGAATAAGTTACTGGGACTCCAGCACATGCAAGTCATTGTCAGCACCAGCAACCGAGAACCAGGTCACGCCGTGATTCATGATTTACTGAGCGTAACAATGCAATAGTACCGTCTGGACACGATAGTAGATAATGGTTAAATCAAGCGTGACGTTGAGCGAGTTGATTTATATAGAGCTTACGATTGGCGGCAACAGCAATGCATTCAAACTTTGCTAAGGCCCTGCATGGCGATGGAGAGGCGAGAAGTGCTGCACCCTCTGTAAGACTTTACTATCACCACCATACCAACAAACCGATACTTTGTCACGGTTACGACGTTGGTACATCGACACTGCTACCGTATCGATACGTTCGATGAGTCTGTTCACGTAGATACGTTGACATTAATCAAATGAAGAACTTAATCAACAGGAGCACCAATAACGTGGAAGTGTCATGAAGATCAATATGACGAGGATGATTCCAAATTGTATTGGAACAATAAATTTTATTTAAAATTCTTTAGGAATAAGACTGAGACCAAAAATGTAGCCATTTGGCAAAAGACGTATTGGAAATCAAACCAGCCCAAATATAGTTTCCAAAAAAATCATGCACGACTTGTGATATCTAATGTACGCAAGGACATATAGCCTGCTAAACTACTCCCAATTACAGAGCAAAAGATTGTATGCAAATTGAAAATCGCAAATGCCAATCAATTTCCGGTAACAAGTTTGCCGATAGTATGCAAGCTTGATGCACAAGTGTATGAAACCACAAAAGTTTCCGTTACTCTCTTCAATAATTAAGTATACGCGAACACAAGGGCGACGTGCGTTAACATGAAACAATCTGTATACGTGATCGCCGGGCATGAGATGGGCATCGCTCGGGGCACGCGAGTACCGTGGCTATACAAGCACGGCACGCGCGAGTTCCGCTTCGTGCTGTTCAGTAATGTTATGGTGATGCAATAACCGTGCGCAGTAATGTCTTGGTGATGTATTAACCGTGCGCAGTAATGTCATGGTGATGCATTAACCGTGCGCAGTAATGTCATGGTGATGCATTAACCCTGCGCAGTAATGTCATGGTGATGCAATAACCGTGCGCAGTAATGTCATGGTGATGCAATAACCGTGCGCAGTAATGTCATGGTGATGCATTAACCGCTGTCTCTTATACACATCTAGATGTGTATAAGAGACAGGTGATGCATTAACCGTGCGCAGTAATGTCATGGTGATGCATTAACCGTGCGCAGTAATGTCATGGTGATGCATTAACCGTGCGCAGTAATGTCATGGTGATGCATTAACCCTGCGCAGTAATGTCATGGTGATGCATTAACCCTGCGCAGTAATGTCATGGTGATGCATTAACCGTGTTCAGTAATGTCATGGTGATGCATTAACCGTGTTCAGTAATGTCATGGTGATGCAGTAACCGTGTTCAGTAATGTCATGGTGATGCATTAACCGTGTTCAGTTATGTCATGGTAAAGGAATACGACACGTGATACGATGTTTCATTAAATAATATACTAAAACTTTCCGCCATTTTCCCGCACGTGAGTCACGAACTTACACGTAACTTATGATTAAATTAATCTCTTAATTTGGCCCTGCAGTTCGCCGTCATGTCTAAGCCAAATAATTTTCTGAAATGCAGCGCCCGAGGTTCCGAACGAAGGCTATTATTTTCAAGGGAGCCTATGATGCACACGACACGCAAGCCGCCCAGTATGGGGTATGAGACGCGCGTCACAGCCTGGACAAAGCCGCGGTCGTGACAAGTTTATGCATAGAGCTTTTAATATACATCAGCGTAACTCTGCGTTGAAGGGATAAATAATGCTTGAAAAAAAATCCCGTTACCCGAATCACGTCATCCCAACACCAAAAATCCCGAATCCTGCAGCTATTTTCACATTAAAGTAAGTTGAGTGAAAGAACGATGCATTCAGAATCACCTTGATATGCCAGCACTAATATTGATATGCAGAGTGATTTAATAATGATCCTAATTTAATATTTTGTACATTATTCCAATTTCACAAAACTCTTGAAACTTTATAATTAATCTTTTATATTTCAAGGAGTTCCCCAGCGTGTGACTTTAAGAAGCTTCTCCGGTGTTAGTCTTTAATTATGATAAAGGAAACATTGAGGACATGATATTTCTACTACCACCTTATTCATTTTACGCTCCCGTTTAGTCGTTTACTTGCTTTACTCAAAATTTAGGCAATATTTTTCAAATACATGCGTCTGAATTTGTAACGTTAGATATTGATCACCCTTAATTATGTATTAAGGGGCTATTCATAAACAGCAGCAAGCTTCACCTAACACAAAAACATCCCTATTAACTTTCATAAATATATAAATAGGTTAACATTTATTGTTTGTGATATCAATAAGCTGTAATTTACTACCGAACGCACAGTCAAGGCCAGCAAGGGCGAGCACTCGTCCTATGCAAGAAGATGTGAACATCACACACAAGTTCCTACAAGCTTGCTAGGCACGAGAGGATGCTTATATGGAACCTGAGGCGTGACCTTCACCGTACCCCACAGCCTCCTCATCAAGCCTTAGTCACTGAAAATAATTTGAATTCAATTCAGTATATGATTAAGCCAAGAGTTGAAATTACCGTGTATTAAATGCCAGTCTTGCATTCCATAAAGTCAGGACTCTCAGCTGCGCTATAGAACGGCAAGTAAACGTGAACTCTTGATTGCAAACTGTATAATGTATAAGCACTAAGACAATTCATGCATTCGCGTCAACAGAAAAAAACAATTCTAACTCTTTATAAAGCTCTGACCAGTTTGTTCTTTCAGCCACAAACTTATTCTTGTCGTGAACTGTGTAGTTAATCGGACAGCAAAGGGGTTGAGTTCGCAAACCTGGCCATTGAATGGCCAGCATTAGGCCGGCAGCAACGCGGTTCAAGGCTTAAATAAGAAGAATGCAAGCACGTCAGCGCCAAGATAATGCACATCTTCTACAAACGCGTCAACAACGCAGCATTAGCATGATGTTGCTCAGCTAGAATGCATCACACAGAAGCACGTATTTTACTTGTATTCCCGATAACAAAGCACAATAAAAATATTTTAAATGAACCCAGACAAAAGCAATACAAATTCGTTGAATGTAACAAATAAAAAATAGCGGGAATGAAATGGTCCAGTCTTAGATATAAATAGCCTTTGATGAACATATTCTACACGAACACCACTACAGATAAATCAGCACGTAGAGCAAGTTATCACGAGGAGCTGCCATACCTGCATGCATATGGCAAACGTTATCTAAAATATATCAGTTGTACGGACGCCTGCGGGGCCTCAGCGATCCCAGGTCACGTTTTTTTCAGAATAATATGCTTCACTCGTCCACCACAACGTCCACTAATGTGCTATCATCAACCTTTTTTCCTGGCATGTGTTATCTAACATTTGCCAATATTCTTTTCTCATGTGATAAAGTCGGCCAATTGGCATAGCGCTTGAGATTTAGATTTGAGGGTGATTTTAGATTTAAATTAAATTTAATTTGAAGGTCATATTAAGGAATTAGAAAGCAAGACGAAAGGATGACATAAAATACAATTAAGTGATAAGTATTGAATACTCGAGCTTATAGACATAACGCATACGTCATCAACCTTGTACTCGGGGAAAAACAAATGACATATCACACGATCTCGCGGATAACACTCGTGTATGGGACGTTGCTCGGCATAGGTTGAAATCAGAGTTATGTGTTGACTTTCAACGCAACTTTATGCTGAACAAATCGGGAAATCTTATAAATAACCTCGCATGCAGCCCCAGTTGCAGGTATAAGCTAATGAAAGACCGGACGATGCTTTATTCGATGAATAGTACGTCAGTAGAATGAGGAACAAGCCCATAGAAGAGATGATCACTGAAGCATTTACATTAAAGTAGCACAGATTTTACGGCCGTCATCGGATGACAAACAAGCAAGCGCGTCTCAAATAAAAATACACTATTAAAATTTGCACCTAACTTCCTGTCCCCAAAAAATTAATGTAATGCAGACATTTTTTCTCAAAATGTCAGCGATGCAAGGTAATATAATACAAACCTTCTTGTGGGTCGAGGTGCGTGTGGCACGGAGATGACTGAAGACTAAGACTTCTGATGTCAGACGCCCTCATGGAGCGCCTGTGGGCACTGCGATAGGGGGCGAAGTGCGGCGACGTGGCGTGAGTGTGGCGGCGTCTGGGTCGCGAAGTCAATGAGTTGTTGATGAGATTATCAAAGATTCTGATCCAGTCGTCCTCGCTTGAATATAACGACTCGAGTTGCTCGAGTGATGCTTCAAGCTCTGCTTTGGTCTTACGTTGTCTGATAGTTAGGCTGGAGTCTGCCGTGGTCGCGGACAAACTAGACGAGTTAGATACATCAGACACTGCAGATGAATTACAGCTCTGAGAAGCACCAGTTAAGGAAGAGAGTCCCGATTTGCGGGAGAGCGTTGAAGCGAAGCTCGATTCGGAATCTCCCGAGAAGTTCGAGAAGCTTGATAAATTTGTAGTCGCCGAATAGTTGGACACGGCGGAGACCGCAGACACGGCCGACAGTGTAGACGCGTCGCTTTTGCGGGAGGCGTTCGAGCCCATGGAGTCAGAGCGAGCGACCGTTACCGGGCGTCCAGAGTCTCGCGATGAACATCTCAAGACTTCGTCAGGAGAAGTACCCTCTTCGTCAGACGAAGGAGCCAGAGGAACTGGCGTACTGCAAGTAACCATAGCCGGAACCTCATTACTAAATGAATCAAAGAAGTTGGGTGGAGTGTTATCGTTCTTAGTAGGCAAGGGTGGAGTGCCAACTGAAGTCGCTCCATCACCACAAGACGCGATAATTTCTAGTTGTCGGGGCGACGAGTGTTGGAAATCAGAGGAGGGTGGGGGTGTGCAGCTGTCGGGTGTTGAGGCTGACTGTCCCATGCCCAGCTCGCTGCTGTGCCCACTGTCCAAGGATCCCAGGGACCCAAAGGAACATTGCAGACTCAACGTCGGCGTCAATGACCCACCGTGAGTGTGAGGTCTCATGTCACCTCCACTGCCGCGCTCCATGTCATCACTCATGTCTAGTACTGAGCGGTCAGCCGCGTCATGGCTGGCCACACATAAACTCGGACTACCGGACGGCATTCTTTATTTCAGGAGCGTACACGGTTACCAAGTAAGTTTGTCATCATAACAATTGCATAGTAACGAGCAGTTCCTTCACTGATTAAAACTCAAAAATATGGAAACACACTTCCTACAAAGGCATCATTCCGCACAAGTTACGTATTGGCATAAATCACACAAGGTATAGTATAGAACAATTGTAAAAATTATTCCGCCAAGCACTCCGTGTTACTCCAAATTAATAAGCTAATTACAAAAGACAAACTTTCGGAATAAATTATGTTTATAACGCCCACTTCAAAATCTGTGAAGCAAATTCAACAGAGATATTTTAATGCATTGTGTAAGCAGGCAATAAAACAAGCATTTCAAATCTTATCTTATAGGTTATGTGTACAGTTCATTTCAGTGATGGGCCGATTATTGGAAACGGCACCGGCAGAAATTGAACGTCTTCGCAATTACTGGTATCGCCTCACGATAAAAACAGCAAATTCGTGACAAACTGTTTCATAAAGTAAGTGCATCAAGATGAATGAGATCATATTTTTAGTCAATAATTCAACTTGTTCTCTTGCTCATCATATATGAATGAGATATTTATTGGTCAATATTTAAACTTGTTGTCTTGCTTAGCATCAAATTCATCATGTATCACGGCTAACTTCGCTTTTATATGATATAATGATACTAAAGTAGTCGTCTACTCAGTCAGTTAAGCAGTCTGTAAGAAATCCTCGGCATGAAATTCACTCAAATCTTGCCCATATTAAGTTAAAGAAACTAAGAGTATATGTTCAGGACCAATATAAATGAATTATTTATGAGAATTATTTAATTTATAATAGAAATATCATTTTTTAGGACCAATAGAACATCATTAAACCAAGCTCCAGCAGTAGACATGAAGAACAGGATTCGGTGGAGCAAAAGAAAATTTGCAAAAAGGGGAAAAAAAAGAGGAAACATAAGAAAAGAAAAAGAGGTTTCAGCTTTTTTGCTTTAGTCTACCTAGAAATAGTGAGCATTATGCTTATCAATTTTACACCACTAGCGAATTTTGACATGCGAGTAACACAGCTGAAATTTTCTCACCATGAAAATAGCGCTGCACGAACGTAAGTTTGGTGACGATGTAAAACGGCTGACCTTATTCAAGATTCAACTCCAATTCGGCACGCAAACTTCAACAATGCCTCCGAAAATATTTTGAAAAAGAATTTTTACATTTTATGAGCCACACTGAAACAATTCCGTGTGTTAGGTGCAGTTAGCTCAAGTAGCTAGATAGCTCAATGTGGCTAAACGAATTAGTACGAAACGTTCGTTCGCCGCTTTCGTAACAGCTATCTGAAAATTTCGCTCAGCCACAGCCGCTTGGCGGATGACGTCATGACAGGTAGTAGCTTCGAAAGAGCCCTAATAGTAGCTTCGAAAGAGCCCTAATAGTAGCTTCGAATAAGCGCTGAAAGTAGCCTCGCCGGCTGGCTGAATGGCGTTTTACGCACCTGTGCCAACTCATTTTAGGACAAGCCGGGATAGACACTTCGGTGCGTAGTTTTAACGCAGCGATTTGTTTCAGTGCAATACAAATTAGTATTAAAGAATCCACATAAGAATAATTTTAAATCCCAACATTCACTCAACATCCAATTAATTACACATGTGAATAAAAGTTTTATTTGAAAATATTTTAAACTCGCTACGTGGTTGTAGGTCAAAATTTGACTGCAGGTGCGTGCAGTGCGGTTATGCAGGTGCCCGCACTTCACCACCGGTGCACGTCTCAGTGCAGGTGCGTGCGGTGCGGTCCAAGTGGTACCTTATAGCCACAAAAAAATATCCTCATAACATTGCTAGATGTTTTCAGTAATCCCGTCTAATCCGTGAAGTAAACTTTAATCCTGTCACCAACACTCGCATCGCAACATACCGGAAGGTCAAAGTGTAAAGGTAAAAACTAGAACTAATTTCACCTTAAAAGTTAATTCCTTGTTATTAATTCACTTCGGAACTGACAAATGAGTCTCACAAAATATGCCTACGTGACCGAACAAAATCGGAGATTCCAGATTTAAGCCCAGATGAATGGAAGATAGAGCCATTTGTCAGGACTACAAACGCTCACCGGATGCCTCATTTAGTCTCGGGCATCTTACTCAGGTCTTTTTTTATCCATAGTGAAAGCAGACATGCCCGCACGTGGTCAAAAACACCCCAAATAAAATAATGAAGCGTGTAATTGATTTCCTAGCTTAGATGTCGCCAGTGAGACAAACACTGGTAGCCAACACGGAGGCGGGAGTTCGAATGACCTGCCTAGGTAATAAACCGTGGCCAGGCCGGATATGCTTCACTTACAGCGGAATTCAAACTCCTGCACTAACGCTTCTAGATACACTGAATATTTTGCATTGGACACGCACATTGGCATGGGTAGCACGGGCAACACTTGACAACAATGAGTGCAGCATCTGCACACAATGAAATTAGTGATACAAACAATCTCGCGAGTCGAGTCCAGAAATTCACATTCCTAGAAAAACGTTTTGTTCGAAAGAATTCCCGTATCTCCAGGGCAAGAGTACGAGACACAGATTTTCTTTTGGTTAGCAACTCAACATTCTATGCAACCGTTGAAGTTATTTGCACGTTATATGCAAGACGCGCTCCCAGAGCAGAAATGAGCAACACAGTCGCAAAAATTGTCGGACAATAATTTAGGCTGACGTCTTGGGGGGGTTGTGGCCGCCGGCAAGACCGAGGGAGCGGCACGGCGCGACGACCTCCCCTCTCACCACCATGACAGCGACTGCCGAGTAATGAGTATTGCAAGCGTGCCACGCGGCGCCCCTTGCGCTCTGCCGCAGCTACACTACAGCTGTTGGTGCTGCTGCTGCTGGCAGCACCGAGCAATATTGCTGCTAAGGACTGCAGAACTGCTGCACATTTAGCGATTGTTTCTAAAAGTACACGTAGATTACCAAGACTGATAACTGCTACTGCACTGCTGCTGTTTTAATGAATGTTGTTAATAGTGCAAAACAAATATCAGTACCGTACTGCTGATAATTGTCTGCACCGCTACCGTTTTAGGATTGTTACTGACTGTACGGTACTTAAATCAGTACCGCTGACAACTGCTGACGCAGTAGTTACTGTTTCCAACGCTGTTGCCATACTGGTGCCACTGCAGCTACGGCAACGCGACGGCTGCTACTATGGCACGCCAGCTGTCACCATCAGCAGCGCTTTATTCATTGCTTCGTCTCGCTAGCAAATAAAACCAAAGCGACATACAAGTAATGCAAGCGTCTGCTGTTCCACATCGTTTTTTCCACCCAGACTTTCGGGAAACACACATAAAAATGAGACACTTTATGAATGTATAGTATAAATAACCGACGAGTTATTTATCCTACAGAGCGCTACAAAGTTACTTGTTCCAAAGCGCTTGGGGGTCGAAACTCGGTAACTAACGTAACACGGCTCTTCACTAATTAGTCACCATGCAATCAGTCGCTAATCACTAATTGGCAGCTGAAAATTAAGTATTGTGGAATTTGGAATAGTTTGCTCTCCTTAAGTCACATAATTAATCACACCCGCCGTGAGGTAGGCAAAAAAGACGGAGGCTTGTTTACCACGCCTTTGCACCTATACGGAGGCGGGTTCACCTATATACCCGAAAATAATCTGACCAACCAGCGTCGTTTGTTTCACTCACAATTGTCTTAGGTTCACGAAAAGTACCTGCTCGAAGGATATAAAAGACGCGGTCAACATACCCTACTTCAAAAGCTTCTTGATCGAAGGATAGCACGGCGACAGCGAGCTCTGGATATCAAAGTGAATTTCTAAACCAAATTATTACCAAAGTATCTTCTGTTGTAGCACGTGCAGCTAAATTATTTGAAAATCAAACAAACCTTGAATTCTGTGGACTTAAAGTGGTAGTGCGTACTGTAAAAACTGAAAGTGGTACTGCGTCGTGTGAAGTAGAAGCGGTACTGTGTCGTGTAGAATAAAACTGAAGAAATGCCTCCAAAAAGAAAAAGACAAACCACCCGCAAGGAGCAAAAGAGGGCTAAGAAGGCCTTCTCAGCAAACGCTCTCGAGTAAGTATATAAAGTAGCTCCTGATTTTGCAGAGGGACTTGTATTTCTATCGCTCTAATGGTGATGATTAATATTATTTTCTATCTATTTATTTTATTTTTTCAAAAATAGAAGCCCGAGTCCACCTCTATCAACTCGCACATCAAGCCGCTCCAAACATCAATAATATTTAAATCTCTTGGTTATTGTTTTCAATGACGTATATAGCGAATTTCGGGAATGTTCTGTGGCAAATTGAGCTTCGCTGACCTAAGTTATTAACACATTACCAACAATTAATTTATTGTTCGCTCCATGTACAATAGTAATTCTGAAAATCATGCTCATCATTAATTTGGTGTTACTAAATGTAAACTAACACTCGATTACAGTCAAATTTAAATAAAATTAATTTTTAAATAGAAATTTGTTGAAAACAAATTCTCCAAACAATATTTGCACTATAGTTTAGGCGTTAGTGTACACTTTGTCCATCAAGTTTTTACAACGGATTCAACTTTACGTTGCAGATGCCCCATCGTCGACTTGACTGACGACGTTTCTACTGCAGCAGAACCGTCCACAGAAGAGATTCGTGCCTGCGATGTTAACTATGGAACGCAAGTCCCGAAACTGGACTCCGAGTCAAGCGCAGATGAGATAATGGACGCAACGGGATCGCAGAACCCGAAAAAGCCGACATTCTGCTCCACGACATATTATAATGTAAGCAGTACGGCTATTTTAATGATTAAACACATCATGATGGAGGAAGCAGCTGTATTGACACAAGAACCATACCAAGAAGGGCTATCACTGGAGGCGCAGTGGGCGTGCGTGGGTACCGAAGTTCACGGAGAAAATCTTTTCTCGGGACTGATGCCCCTAGACACCCCGGCAAACGGGCATTGTTTATTTTACGCAGTTGCTGGCAGCTACAACATGCAGCTTCCAGGTACAGCTCCGCCAGTGCTTAGTGCAGAGTTCATTGTCGGCAGAGTCAGGCAAGAGTTTCATGCGTACTACCAAGAATATTACGGATTCACAACATACGCAAGTCAAGAGGACTTTACAAGTTCAGTAAATGAGTACTTGGACGACATGAACTTTGATAGCCAAATCGGAGACATCACTCCAATGGTCATAGCAAATGCTTTAAACCTGCGAATAATAATCTACAACAACATGACCGCGCCTCCAGTGATCAT